TTTGAAACAAAGAGTAAGTCCAGTTACTACCTGGCTCAATAAACCTAAATCCACTCTATCCGTCAGTGATTGTAATCAACAAAGCCGAGATCTGGTCAAAAATCTATGGCCGGTGAATCCACTCCAGAAATGAGAGTGAAATATGATATAACTGATCAACTGTAAATGCCGAAACCAGAACCAGTAAGAATAATGTGACACAAACCCGTTTATTCAATGATAGTATTCAATAATGATGAATATAAATTGTGTTTTCGTTAGATATCCCTGCTTATACTGAAACTTTTCCACGCACGTAATACGACTAAGAGCACAGCATGGAGACGCTGAGGCCGAAAACTAATGTTGCTGCGACCGAACACGACCAATGTTACCTACTGATCTTCACTGACATAAGTGAATATGTACGACAATACAGTAAAACGTAAAAAAAAACACAGAAAGTTTGCGTGTATACAGTAACATTTCCTGGAGTCCTGAGTTTGCAACTAAGTTAATTTGTGTGTTGTACTTGAAGCCTCCACAAAGAAAGCAGCGGGTTGAGGCAGTTATAAGAATAGCAGACAAAATGAAGCATTTCAGTATTTGCAAATCTTGGTACAGTAGATATAAAGTATCACCCTGAAAACATTATAAAAATATTATGAATCTAAGTTTCAGTTTCTGTTTGTATGGGACATGAGGTTGAGTATCTTGAGTTTTTCCTGGCAGTGTTACTCTCAGGTGATGTAACTTACCTTTGGAAGGGTTATCCGATTAGGCTGCTTACAGTGTTTAGTTGATGAGTTCTATGCTTCTTGCATCAATGAAAAATCAATAGTCAGCTGGGAAATAATCATTTCTCGGTTCGCGAAAATTTTTAGATTATTCTTTTGAAATTTGTGTTAGAAAACAAGCGATGATAGCACATAAGCATGAAATTTATTAATAGCTAATTTAAAAGCTATGATCAGATCACCTAAGGTCTCTTCAAATAACAAGTTAAATAGGTTTAACTTATTCAATCCATTATCATACAACAGGTTTCCTACTGCGAGAATCGACTTAATTGCAGTTGTTTGAACCATTTGCTACAATTCACTAGCTTTCTTCAGACAGCAGCTGGATGCTTGTGTGAATTCTCGAAATCAGGATGGACGAGAACTGCATACAAAGTGAAGAAATTATTCGACATTGAAATGACTAGCGGCTCTACGTAATAACTGTTAGGTCCTAAAACCTACTTTCCATTGTCAATGAGAACTGTAAGACCAGTTCTTTGATTAAGTTACCTTCAGATTAATTGGTTCATAAAGAAATGGCAGCGTCTAGTAATCAATCAAAATCAAATTTTACAATCCTTCACAATTTTTTTTCCTGTGCGAATGAATTTAGTGTTTCCGTGTGACTAAATGTGGGTTGTCTGTAATAGAGAAGAATTATTCACACTCGATAATGAGACATCATGTCGTTTCATAACAGCACTTCTAGAATTATTGTTATCTTGATATTAAAAGGGTTGTGATTTACTACTTGAAAAAGTTTCATTCTGCTTCTTTAGTTAAGGATAATTTCTCCTTACGGTCACGAATTTGGATTTATAGCTGCTGGCCGAAATCGCACTCAGATTTTTAGCTGTAGTATGAAATCTGAATGTCTCAGTCGGAACATGAACAAATTCGTCCGTGTGTTCCGAATGATAATGCGTGCAAATGGTCAGTAAGTACCTTAAGTTCGTTGAACGCAAGTAGAATTTTTCTGAGAAAGGTAAGCAAGATTCTTTAACAATTGGTGGGCTTTTCGATCAATAACAATTAAGAAATGCTCTGCTCCTTGAAGTTATGTTACAAATACCAAGCAATTTCCTCAAGATATATAATCCTACTGTATAGGAGTGACAGACGTAAATTTAAAATATGCCAAAGAAGTATTACAAATTCCAATCAATCTAGAACAACGACAAGACACAAGCAGTACGTGGGATTTCGTAGTACGTAGTTTGAAGTTGTACTGACTTAAACTCATGAAATTTCTGATCGTACAGTAAACATATTAACGATTCATTACATACATCATAGCACCTTGCTGATTTACACCATTGTTATCATTTCTGAAATTTCGCGTGCACTTGGTCCCCACTATATCTGCAAATAATGACAATAACCCCTTAATCACCCTAGATGTCTCACTACCTGACTCCCTCACAGATATAATAGATTTTCACCATAATCTCAGTGAAATTGTAGAATTCTGCTAAATTGATATATCATCACACCACACCATACATAACATTGCACTGCTGTGAGTACGCCTTCCAGAACTACTTGCTTATCTAAATATTATTTCATTATTTACTTACTCTCAAATTTATTATATAAACAAATAATCAGCTTCTACTATTATTGGCCACACGTTTGCATATTTGAATCAAGAATCTTCAAAATTAGTTTACGCGATCCCTTTACTATCCGATTTCTTTGTTCATTGTCAACAACAGACTTCTTTGGTGAAATAATATTCTCTGATTTTTAGTGAATAGAATGGAGAGAAGACCTGTGGTATGTTTACAAAACCCAGGATATCAACTCTTTGAATCCATGAACTCTATTGACCATAGCGCAGAGCATTCAGTTTCGAAGCAATGATATATAAGTGATGGCAACTTGTCTCTAAATTACGTATTTAATGCTTGTTGTCTAAATGTATTCCCCTGTCTTAAGATAATATCTTCAGAGAAAAAGCAGTCCTCATGGTGTTGAGAAGCAACGGATTTAGATTTTTTTCACTTGTTTCACATATTATAAATAATAAAATACTCATTGCACACTGAGTTTAAAAACTCCAAAATAGTAATCCAGTAATGATATTTAGTAGAGTCATGCACGTATAAGGAGCGAAAGTGATAAGTTACATATTTTTATGTCAGAAATGATAAACTGATATCTTCCTAGTAATACGTAAGCTATCAAATATGATTATAGCTCCCATCATTTAAGGTGTGGGAAACAATTTAGGCGAAAAGACAAACAAATTAGACAAGATTTGCTTGACTGCTTGTGTATGAACATAAACTATCGATCTCTCACACGTGATCTGAACTAAAAAAATAAAATAAAGTAACTGATTAAAAACAACTGCTAGTGAAAGCAAACATTTTCTACTTTTCATGGTATTCAGAAAGTGACATTAATTTATCTGTATTGTTTTTTAGGACCGTCTTTCTGTCTGAGTCTCAAATAGGACGAAACACACGTCCTAGACTCCATTGCTAGTCACCATCAATTTCCGCCAAGGTCAACATTGTTTCGTATAAACAATGTTCAGTCTGTTTATTTTACAAACAATTGAATTGCGATTTGATTTAATTCTCACCTTACCACAATATTCTTTTGTACGGAATTCTGAACTCGGGCAGTAGTTACACGAGGCTGAGTGATTCATATTAACTTTTATTGACTTTATACATTTACACGTTTATTTATCTCTGCGTGTGGTTTCGGTAAATTGCAAGTGTTAAGCGACTACTGAGCAACTAAATCCAACCTATTTCACTCATTGTTCTCTCAGGCTATCAAAAGGAACGTTTTATATCGAAATTCAATGTTTCATTTGATAGGAATAATATCTTATATATAGAATGACAATATTTTCAAGAAACAAATAATCTATGTTGCTAACACGAACATAAAGTAAACTCACATTTACGTAACACAAATATCCATGCGCCTAGTCGAAACACATGGAGATGTCCACTTGTAGATGTAAAGAAAATGTCCAGAAATTAGGTCTGGTATGCAATGCAGTGCAATTTTAGTGGTAGGATGCTTTTTAATTAGGTCAGCAATACCAAAAGTGCTGAATCTAAATAATTATGCAGTGAAAGCTTAGCACTGCTATGCAGTGTAGTACTGAAACGAAATAGCTACCTAGTGTTCCCTAATTTTTAGTTGCTCCCTGAGTTCGTATAGGTCCTGCATGTCAAATTCAAACAAATTAATTTAGACCAATAAGAACAACTGTGAAGCCAAATATCAGCTTGTGTTATCCAAATAATCTTTGCCAGAATAATAATAATAACAAAAAATAAACAATAAGCATGAACAATCTACATATTACACAATAATTCATATGATGAATGACTAAATTACTGTCATCAGTAACCTACGAATCTTTTTATCTAATTTCTAACAAATTTATATTTTATAGTAGAAAAGAAAACTTGCATGAGAATATATCATAAAAGATGCAGACCTTTCATTTGACCAACGCATTACAATACAACAAACACATATCATAGCGATTCTCACGATTACTAATGACTATGAATGGAATAGGGAGAAATCACTCACTAATTTATCAATGATAACAGTCATTTATTACTACTCCTAAACGTTTCACCATGAATAAATAGACAAATTAAATTGTGTGAATAACTTTTCCTGTTGATAAAGAAGCTCACACAGTGTTTCTAATATGAATAATAACAATAATGATGCACCAAACAATGAAGCATCATAAAATAGGCTGTGAAATACAGCTACCGTAACATATACTTACATAGTATACATGTATTTAACTGTAAACAAGAACAATAATGGGAGTTTTAAAAAAAAATACAACTACACAAAACTATGTGTATCCTTTGATGAATAGTTTATTTGATCTTTCAAATAAATTAAAAGGTACAAATGAAAATCAAAAACAAAAGGCGAAACAGATACAGTAAATTTAATGTTACGAAAAAAAGATCAGCCTACAAATCAACAAATAAATATACATGAAAAAAATAGAATAAAGAATTTTTACACACAAAGAAAATGCTTTGATATCATTGAGAATGCTTTATTATTGGCTACGATAATGATGAAGTGGAAATTCTACAAGTGAAAATATCAGGAACAGAATACATATATATATGGAAATGTGCGTATGATATACAGTTTTGTGGTTTCTAGTTACGAGAAGTAGTAAATGTTGCTGGTGATGATGGCTATAAATGTAAAAAAATTTTATAGAACCAGTTAATCTGGATAAAGTAAATGATCTGAATTATGATAAGGGTTGTGAAAATGAGAAATTTCTGACAAGACATTCACATTCTGCCAGTGGATATTTTTCTTACTGGTTGAAGGTGATGAACACCAACTACAACAAGCAACTGAAGAATTAGGACAAGATTTAAAGGTATGTGAATTGGATAATTCACATGCAACAGTGTTAGGTGGATTAGTAGTAGTAGTTATAGCAGGTTGAACACTAAAAAAGAGAATAACAAAAATAGGTAAGATGAATATATTTGTAAATAATAAATTTAAAGTAAGTGATAAAGTAAATGACCAATTGATATTTTATTCACATTATAATAATTTATGTCGCGTATTTTTCATTATTGTAGATAAGACAGCTTCCTAAAGTATGAATAAATAGAGGTGAAGACTGTTAGTAAGTTAAATGACTTCTTCAGCTCAGTCCGAACTAAGGAATACAGAAACATGTACTCTAGTTAGTCATAATGAATAAAAAGTTAGCACTCAACACATAAATTCAATAAAATGAATGATATCAACGGTGAGTAGCAGAAACAAAAAAAACATGGGTGTTAGGGAGGGAGTGGGAGTTGTCAGAATTTAGTGAAAATACTAGCTTAGGTTAGATGATCATGAATGAGAATATTACAAACTAAAATAAGTAGTTAAAGACTATCATTGTATGAATCTGCCCAATCTTGTGAACCAATGTTTTACATCAGTTCAGTCAGGTAGGTTGACGTCAACGATGTGTAACACCAGTTGAACCGATTTTGAAACGATTCTATTCAATGTTCAAGCATCTCAGATGATTTTAAGTAAAGTAAATCATTCCAAAATATGTATCGATCACAGGTGCACTTTTACTATCATGTGGCCTGATAAGATGAAATAGTTTATGATGAGTTAAAGTTATGATTACACCTTTTACCTACGGAATGAATTGGCGAATACCGAAAAGACTAGCGTTTCTTAGTGTATAAAACTAAGTTATTTATCAAACCCATCCTTAAAACGTTTGTGATATGTAGTAGGGAGAACGAAATGTGACTGGTCATCGAGCGTCGACAAACACGGACAGCCTACTGGCTACCAAATGTGATTTCATCCCACCCCCCATTAACTTATAGTCCGGACTCACTGGGCGTGAGTGCCTGTAACTGTGTGGAAGTATCTGGTTTGGTGTGCCATTTGAGCATGTAATTCAGTTGTAATATAAACTCAGTCACCCATTTATCCGCGATATATAATACAGTAGATAAACAATATCCAATACACCCGTTATCACCAGTAATTGTTTGAATTTGAGGTATATTAATAACTTGTAATAAGGAGAGTATAATCAATTTGCTAAAATCAACAATATAACAAAGGTCCTGTAATAGTAATACAAGGGAGAAAACAACACGGGGAATCCATCAATGCTTAATTGTGCGTTTCAGTAGGAAGGTAAGCCTAAGGATTTACAAAAAAGTTATAGTTGGCTTCATAATAGTTTTATTTTAGCTGGTTACTAGTTGATAATTACTGGTTATTTCGCTTCTACTATTTAGTCAGCCATTACTGATGTGCAGCCTGGTTCAAATATGTGTTAACCCAAATTTTTATATTCAGAGGACGACAACCACATAATATAAGTCTGTCAATGGACAGATTTTATTAATTAATATTATAAAACAGTTAGTGACATTACCAAGTTACCTAAAACTACACATGCTAAACGATATGACAATAGATAACAGTGAAAAAAACGATTATACTACTGTGAGATTAATTAAACGAAAATGCTTGAATTTTGAATAAATGTTATGCCACACCCTCTGCGACAGATAAACATGAGAGCTTTTAACTACAAAAAATGACTGAATTTACTTTTAGTAGAATAATTAAAATCTCCTACTTTGAGAGATAGCAAATAACTAGGTGGTAAAATTTAGTGACGTTGATTTATTATGGGCATAACAAATCATTAAGAGGAAGAGTGGATGGTGTAGACAACTTTAATGGGTCGTAAGTTAGTAGTAGCTGGAGGTGGTGAACAGTAAATCCTGGATCTAGATTTCATGCTATTTGGAACTCATCAGTTAAGTGCATCTCGGAGGACCTAGTGCGGCCTGGTGGATTGAATCATGGTTTACCCATTCTCAGATTTCGAGCTATCCAGGCAGTGCTGAACATTGAGCACGAGATGTCCAATCACTTAGACTGGTGACCACCACATTGGAACCAGATCGACAGAAGTTGATGAGCAATCAAGTAATCAATCGCTTATGAAAATTCAATGATGAAAAAATAGGTTACTAGTGGAAGAAAAGACTGTGAGCCATATTACAAAGTGTAGTCATATAATTTTATTTCATAACGCAAGCTAAATCGTTTGAAATGCCATTGTTGAGACTGTTTTACACAGGGGATAGTTATATTTTATTTTAATGAAAATTTACTTGACATTAGCAATTTTAAAACTCAGAAGTTAATAAGACCTAGTTTTTGCAAAACGAAACATAATTATAAAGTAAACTTACATTTCACCTCCAACAGGATTACCATTATATGAATCTGTCGTTACTGTGTTATTTATATCACTATTATCTTCATGATATCGAGAGGATCTCCATAGACTCGTTTTACTAATACGATTATTAGCGCACAGTTGTAAAGTTGGACAAGATTCAAATATTGCCAGTAGTACATTACGATTCAAACCAAACCACCATGGATTACCAGGACCAGATGATAATGAAGCATATAAGAATATACTAAGTAATACAGGTATACAAATTAATAATGCACTACTTTTTGAAGCAGAAAGATAACCATCTAATCTTAAGCCTAACAGGATTAATGAAGTACATAGGAAAATAACTATTAGTAAATGTGAAGCATAGTAACACACAGATAATCTACGTTGAGCTACAGGAATAAAGAAGGCTGTAAAGTATGTAATTAGTGCAATAGTTAAACCTGCGAAACAAAATAAAAATCCCATCGATAATAATATGAATGATGGAATAAAAGTGACAATCCAATTTGAACGTATCCAATTGTCAAGTCTAGCAATTAAGAATAACAATTGTAATAAATTAGCAGCAATACATAATTCTAAGGTAAAAGAGCATGCATGACGAGATCGAGGTATGAAAACAAATGAATCTGAATTATTATTCATAGTATTGTTATTGTTGCTATTATTGTTGTTGATGGTATTATTATTATTATTAACAGTGGTAGTGATAGCAGTAGTAATGGTAGTGTTACCAGTATTGTTATTTAAAGATCTTGAATGATGTTGTCTTCGACGTCGTGCATTTGCTGTGAATGTAGCTCTTGAATCTATCATAACAAAAAGAAAACCAAATACACCCAATGCACCAACAACTAGTAATGGAGACAAAATAGTTAAATATGTAAGATTAGATGTTGCAGTTGACAAATGGATACATAACAACACTTCAGAACATGTAATAAGAAAGTGAAAAAATGCTGATACAGACATTGCTTGTATGTACGGTAGAGCAGGATCATCACGAACAATATATGTACTATGCTGTGGATCGTCAACGTGAATTCTGCAATGTTTACACCATACTATTACACCAACTAACCAGCCAACAAAAACAACTGTTTTCCATAACCAAAGTGGAAGAAATATTGTCCAATAAGGAATTATTAAGACATTATCTATTCTAGCGGCAATTAATAACAGCCATACACTGACACACACACTGATGCATATTGTACCCTCATTGAGATTTTCAAGGGCTTTTTGAAAAGAAGCCATTTAAACTAATAAAATTTCACAAATACAGGTTTTAAATCTGCTGATAAAACTATTGAAACAGACGAAAAGTAGTACAACTAGACTGTTATTATTATTTTCACTGTTTTGATGAAATGTTGAGTTATTTTCATTTGATGTGTTTATTGTAGGACCTGAAATAAAAGAAGAATAAAATACTCCAGTTATTTTTCAGAAGACAAACGGGAAAAACAGTCCGATAAGGAAAATACGGTTTCGTTAATCTATTCAATGTACTTGATGAACAACTGGTTGAAAGCCAAAGTTGAACATTGATAAAATAGATATACATTTGCACTGCTACAGTTTGAACATCTGTAGAATAACAATAACCGTAAACAATGGCTTGGAACAAGGTACATAAACCAATACTTAGTAAACAACTTGCACTGGATTGGACCTTGATTGACTTTGTTATCTAGAACCTATGGTACTTTTAAACGGCTAAAGAATTCCAGTCTGATACCTGTTAACTTTGAATACAAGGGAGATGAATATTTGTTGACTCTAGAGATTATTACTGTTTCATTGTAACATGACTACGCCTATATAAGACGGTATTACTAGTAGGCAATCACTTGACTAGTACAGTTAAGTGCAGTCGTTTTAGTTACGTACGAAGAAGTGAAGACCAGAGTAGCCTCACTCCCAACCTTAGCTGCTACCTTGACGTGGTGGTCAGGCTTGCCTATAGTGATGATCCAACCGAGCTATATTGGCTGGAACATATGTTCCTGTTGGTTCTACCAAGCCAGGCAGGTCGACTGGAGAACGATGAGACTAAAAGCAGCTACCCAAGGTCTGAGGGCGAAGTCGTACTGCTGACTGTGGTGGAGGAGTGTGACAGCAGTAAGGTGTTTCCCTCGGACAACCAGCATCTGCAGCGATGCTGCCTTCTCACAAGGAAGGAAGGGTTAGAAAAGGTCGACCCTAAAAATGTCACACCTCACCCCACCTCACGGATCCCCGTCTTCACCAGTAAGGGTGCCCACAAGGGCTCTCAAGAGCGGAGCTAATACTCAAAAAACCCTTCCATCAATAGGCCCTGAGTGACCGGCCTCAAGCAGTTGTCCTTTAGGCTCTGCGGCCACACTCTCAGGTCTCTAAGACCGACACTAATCTACCTTATTTTTCAGGTCCCTGAAGAAACAACCTTCTATGGTCTGGGCAGCCGGAAGTGATGTCCGCCCTCACAGTCTTAACAACACACGAGACCAAATCGGTCACAATGAAATCCTTCTTACACTTCCTAACAACTCTCCTACCTCCGTGACCAAACCTCCTCATATCCCTTTGTCTCCTGACGCCCCTGACACAAACGATTTGAGTCCACGAAACGTTAATCCTAGTCTCCTGAAACCACACTCTAAACTGCATATTGGAGCTTTCAATGCTCGAACCATGTGCCAAATAGGATAACAAGCTTGCTTATCTAGGATTTCAGAATCTCGTACCGTCGACGTATGCTGCGCCTCCGAAACGAGCACACAACTTCTGAGTGGTGTCGTTCATTTTACCTCACAATGTCAAAATAAACAACCAACTCGATTTACTTTTCGTGTATCTGGAGGCATTACTGATGCTTCACGTGACATTGCTGGTGTAGGTATAACATTATGTTCTAGAGAAAAAGTTGCCCCCTTAGATTGGATCCCAGTAGACAGTAGCTTTTGTGCTATCCGACTAATCGGGACAGTAACGATTTGTAAAGATCGGGAAAGTCGCCGTTGCCTCTTCGTCGTATCTGCCTACGCTCCCACTGACTGTAGCTCAGGTCAGGTAAAAGATCAGTTTTACACAAAGCTTTCGGACCTCCTCCAAAATGTTAGGCGCTGTGATGTAGCAATAGTGGCTGGTGACTTCAATGCTCAAGTCGATAAACTAAAAAAAGTGAAAGACGCGTAGGTGGATCTCATGGAGTCGCGGTTGATCGAACAGATGATGGCGACCATCTGTTGCAGCTATGCTCAGAGAATCGCCTATTTCTAGCAAATACTAGATTTAGACATGGCGAACAGCACACTCAACCCAACAATGGACCCAACTGGATCACATCATCATAAGCCATAGGAGGAGATAATTTATTGAAGACTGCCGTTTGGAATAATATCCAAAAGCATGTGGAAAAAGTAGTGACATCTGTCAGTAAGGTAAACTATAAGGTAAGGGAGAAGCAGTGGACTCCGGTAGCATCTACCGAAATGAGAAATGCTCGTAAAGTCATCCCGTCGCGCTTTAGGTACTATGAAGAGTGAAGTCAACTTAGGCATAGACTGATAAGAAGTCTACGCAATGGTGGCAAACAGAGGTCCGTAGCGAAAGCAAGAGACATAGAAAAGGTAGCAACGATAGGTAGCAGTAGACAAATGTTCCGACTTATCAAGGAAAGTCTACTAGGAGTCCAACTGTTAGCATAACTATCTAGGAAAAGAATGGGCGTATTATTCAATCTCAGATATCGGCTTTAATAACGCCTCGACGCCTAAGGCTTGTGAAGAGCACACTGGCTGGGTTCATTGCAATCAAGGGTAATGGAACAGGTACCTGGATGGGTTTAAAGTCAGTTAACCTCAGATAACCCGATAAAAATTAGAAATATAAAACGATGTCCAGCACTAGGAAAACATATAATCGAAACACGGCAAATAAATGACGTCAAGACAACCTTTGATACATTATATAGAAACGTTGAAGAACTAACTCGATGGTTTATAGAAGACTTGGTTATTCGTAAATTCAAACCCCACTTGTGCACAGAAACAATTTTTCACGACCTCTACGCTGTTAATCATTAGGTCCTTTTGTGGCCTACAGTAATGTAACAATTTAATATTCTTTCTATGCTGTCAATCTTCTCATTGCTTCATTTACAATTATCACTTTGTTTATTTAAACTTTTATTCAGCTAATTTACTAATTTTCATATGACATGCCTGAACAAGTATGTGCGACCATATTGTTCTAAATAATGGCACAAATGAACCACATTCTTGAAGTCCCCTAAGCCTTCCCGGGGATCCATCAAAACTAGTAGAAGGGACTATTTGTCCCAAACATATTTTTATTCGCGAGGTAGGCAATAAAAGGACCAAACTTACAGAATTTTCATCTTTGGTGAGGTAAGATGTCTTATTGTTTTTTCACTCTACGCGAAAAAGCCGAAATTCATTGCGATGATGCTTGATTTCATATAAAATTCTCTTACCGAATGCAGCTTGTATTGGTCTAAAAATCACCTTTATTTCCGAATTATGATTTATTTTAAAAATAAAGACGTTTCCACAGCAGGCTTTTTATGTTTTTAACACTGCAACTTAGTAAACTAAGAAAAACAAATACCTTTAAATACCCGCGGTCCCAGTCAAGAACAAGCATTGCGGGTGTTTCAACTTACAATGTACAATACTATCAAATATTTCTCACAAGCTAACATAAATCAGGTGACTTCTTAGCGATAACTTTTTGTTGTTTCGGTGCAGTTTAATGTGTGACACGCGTTTACAGTAGTCACCGAACAGCGGGTCCGATCTAAAATCGCAACACACAGAGTTATCTCAACACTTCACACCAAGAGAGAGAACACGAAGTCGTCGCCAAGGCAATCTTTATTATTTTAAAAATTAAACACGCGGGGTTTCTACAGAAATAGTGTGGGCGGTGTGTCAAGGTATGGTGTGGGCGGTGTGCCAAGGTCTTATGAGTCCTCCTGTCAGCTCAGAGCATTCAGGACTTGTTCTTCTGTTTCCAAAGCGTTAGTGTTTGATCGCCCTAAAATAGAAAGAAAACAGGATGGATTAGCAACATCTACATAGTTATTTTGACTCCGTTACAAATGTACTCGGTGATATTCGCGCCAACGTTTTCAAACACGAAGTGTAGTCCAGCAACCACTTGACTGTCCATCTTTTTACATCGAAAAGTTTATTTTAAGAATAATAAATCTTTTATCCCGATTCTTTCATTCCTCGTTAGGCGCCAATGGAACTTGCGAATGAATCGCACCATATGCTGTAATTTGATCTTGTCTATTAGTCGCTTTGTCTGATATAACCTTCCGTTATTGTGAGTAAACTATTATTACCTTGTAATCTACCTTTCAGATAATCTGGAAACGCCATGGCTAGTTGCCTACTCATAGATATTCGACTCCGTTTTTCAGACTCTGAATATTATTTTAATAATAAGATGGTCGACTTAATCGTATTCCTTGGTCTAATTCAGTAAGCATCGTATCTTTGTGTTCTAATGGGCAGGTTCGGTTGTTCCACTAAATCAACAGGCTTGTGTAACCGACATCGGAGTGCCAATTCATGGGTAATAAACTCACAGTATAAACCTAAGATATATAATTTCCATAGACTATAACTGTCAGTATCATGTTTTAGCTGGATTCCGTATGTTACATTGAGCTTAGTTTTCAATTTCGGTCACATTTTTATCTACGAACTGCTTGTGCCTTCTTGCCTTTTATTTAGCATTTTGACTGTTATGCTTTGAAAGTTGAATAAAGAAGCTGTTTTTTGAAAACCGTCACTATAATAACTAGGAAACCTATATATATATATAAATATATATATTATATCACTTATATTCTTTGCAAGTATACTGACAAATAATTCACCCCTGACTTCGTTATATACGACGCAATAAATGGCTTCCTGATTATATTCTCTAATTTGAATAATATTTAACAATCCAGTGCTGCTGGATTTACCCATTTCGTCATCTTGCTAGCGACTTGTCGGATGTAACCTGAATAAGTGCAGCTGTGTAGTTGGTCTTCTAATACAGGACAAGAAATTTCTGAGTAATTATAAGTATTTTTGTCCAAATACGTATCGGTTCTGCTACTCGAACCTTTCTCCTTCTTCTTCTTTTCAGCACTTCATCCCACGCCCCAAATATTATCCTTGATATTGCCGAAAAATCGGTCGCTTTTGTTAGTTATTTCCATAACTAATTGTAGTTATGCAATAACTAAC